GGAACCTAATCACGAAGGTAAAAATATATGAAAGTCAAGAAAAATCCTTCGAGATTTCAGATTCAATATGGTATATGTCTGAACTCGAAATTTAGAAATTCTAAATTCAACGGTTTTGTTTTAATTCGATATTTGAAATTCAAGCTGTCTAAAAGAGCCGTTCAAAAGACAGCTGATGATGAAACTATTACAGCAAATGAAATACATTTTAGAAATTAAGAAATGTCATAGTAACTTATTTGATATTTGATACGAAATTTGTGAGGCATGCCAACTTTGTATTACTTTACTTTTATCGTGCAAGTCAACATAAATTCCATCTTCCGGTAAATGTGCTGAAGTGTGTTTATGAAAAAGGAATATTATCAACTGATTCCGGTTATTATCGCACTTATGTTCTTTACTTTATCGCATGCCAATTCGACGCCACTCGTAAAATATATTTCAACTGTAAAAATAAGGAATATTTTTGGACGGAAGACAAACACAAAGACTATTCATAGGCCTGTACAGCTTCAAATCTTTAATGATTTATTCTAGATGGTAAGTTTGCATAGTTTGAATCTCAAATGAAGATCGATTTCAAATGTCAAATTTAGTTCTTGCATCTTGAATTTCGAGCCTCAAATGATTCCTTCGATGAAATAAATTTTCCAGCCATGATAAAGACCTTGACTGACTAAACCAGACTTTCAGTTAAATCAGGTAAAAGGTTTTATTTGCATTTAACCAATTTGATTATAAAAAGAGAATACTAACATTAGACGTAGTATTAGACATAAGAAAGGCAATATGCATATTAATATGGTCGTTACCTGAAAAGGCGTGTACGTCAATATGCACTTGTGCTCTAGCAACTGGCGTGCCTGTCAATTCGAATGGCAAACATATTAGCTTTTTTCAATCTCTTTCTCTTTTGATGCAGTTTTTACTCCGAATACATCCACACAGGCTGTGGTCGAGTTTAACGCCGTGACTTCAAAGATTTTGTAGTTTTCTTTTAAAGGATGAAATATCAAATCCGTAGTGGGACTCCCTGAGACAATCTGGAAGTTGCCACTAAGTTTAAGCACATATCTTGCCCCTGGAATACTCTCAAAGTCTCTAGAATAACGTGGAGCTTGTTCTTGATAGTTCTGATCCATCCAGAAGTGCTTTCGAAGTTGTCTTTTCCATATAGTAGTACAGTCCACGATGACCTTGTAAACATTGTCGTCCACTGGCTTTACCATTACGAAAAACACTATAGGAGATTTACCTTGACTCACAATCCGTGTTAACCTCCGGATTGTATCGGCTTCCTCTACTGTATATCTAATAAAAAGCAAAGCAAAATAATTAATTATGAATTACTAACCTAATAGGCCGTTGACGAAAGTCGGAATTTTCAAATTTTAATCGTCAGAAATACTACACGAGTAAATCATATATCATTCAATTCGCAAATGTGTGTACTATTAATTAAAATTAATTTGGTCGTCAAAAGAAAATATGTGCATGTTTTCAGAAATCAAGATCAAAGTCACTAACCGTTTTCAAGGATATTTAATTCAGATTTAAATGTCTTTTTGTTGTAAAATTAATGCAAACTTGCATCTATTTTCTTCCTTATTCAATTTTTGATAAAAAAAAAAAGTGGAAACCTATCATTGAATGAGTTTCCCGAGTAAACGTATATGCGACTTAACAAAAAGGGGGTGGTTTTCATTTTTTTCAGATAATAACAACGGCTGTCAAAACCATACCAAATGTATAGACAAATATGAAAGTGCAATGGAATAGAGTGCTGGTCGAATGTTTGTGTACAGCATATGCATGTAGCGTGCTTTTATCCAGCATCATAGGACATTTCAAAACGTTTCGTCATTGCAGAATACACTTTGGCCATATAAAAATGTTACAAACAGAAATGGGACACAAATGTTAAATTTTCAGATCTGATCTGGTACTTAGCATATAAATATATTAAACCTCGAAAAGATGAGTTGATCCACGGTAAAGCTTTTAAAAGGTAACACAATTCGTGATGGTGACCTTGAAACATAATTTTAAGACCCCAGTTCTTCCTCATAACTCAGTACATATCACCAAATCACGTTCGACGCACATGTGTCACATGTGGAGCAAAATCTGCTACACTTTCCGGGGGACACGATATAGCCCCGGTTTTAGTAAGGTTCGTGTTGATCTTTAGTTTTTTATGTAGTGTTTTGTAGAATTTGATGTTTCTTTAAGTCGTTCTTCGACTTTTGCCATGACGTTGTGATATTGTCTTCGACTAATAAGTTTGAATATCCCTTTGATATCTGATATGTAAACTATATGATGGCACAGAGGATACTATTGAGAAATGGGGAAATTGACAATTGGAAAGTTAAAATCGTCATGCGACATTTGTCATAGATTTTTGTTAGAAGTCGTCAATCTGTGTCACTATCATAGAAAAGGTCAAGATATGAAGCATACATTCTAGTTTCGGTAGTATCCTTTATCACAAGCTCACTGGGTATATGAAATATAAGCGCTGACTGAAATGTGGGTTATAATGAACTTCGAAAGAAATTTATCAAACCATATTATTGGAGAAACCCTTCGAATTTTAAACTCGTACTGTTGAAAATGTAAAGGAACTTAACAATTTAGGGAAGTATTTATTCCTGGCTGAGAAGGCACGTAATTAAACTCATTTATAAATGCTAAATATGTGTTATATTTTATCATTCTCTGCTGTACTGTTATATGGGTATACTTACTTATATGATTATTTGACTGATTATTTAAATGTATTATATATATTTCACTGATGTAATTGAATATTTGTAATTATCTATATTCTATAAGTTGTATTGCTTACGAATAAAATATTATTATTATAGAGTGACAGGAAATCTTCAATATATCTGAACCTGAAATCAAAGAACTAAGCAAAATGGTTTTCTTAAGGTCTTTGACAAGGTACTGCATTTCCATGTGAATATGGCAGTTGTTATCAAATTGTCCGTTTCTATGTTTTTGTTTTTGTTCCGTTGTTTTCCTCTTATAGTTGATGTGTTTCCATCGGTTTTAGTTTGTAACCCGGATTTGTTTTGTCTTAATCGATTTATGACTTTTGAACAGCGGTATACTACTGTAACAGTTGCCTTTATTTACGATACACTTTATTCATCAGCGCTTTATCGTTTATTGTATGATGTTGGAATCCGGTGAAACACAAAATGTCCCCGTTTACAGTAAGTTTTACCTTCATAATTTGTCATCTAAAGGTTTTTAGGATTAACCTTTTCGCCTAATGAATAAAGCATTAGTGTATACGTAATGCTTGATTAAAATAAAAATAAAGTGTATTTGAGTGCAGCCTTTGAATAACAAGTCAAACTGCATGCCACTAATGATCTTCATTTGTAGTCAAATTGGCTAGCTAAACGCTAAAATAACTGCACCATATGACTTTTTGACGACCAATCTTAAATTCAAGTAAAGCGTTTTTCTAGGACTGTGCACATTTTTAGCCGTGTTATATGAAGTGAAATTAAACTCTTTTCATATTCGACTTTTTCTTATTCCGTCACCGCACTATAATACGTGACATACATGTACATATTTACTCTTTTTCTTCTTTTTGAAATATTAGTTGATGTGGACCACTTACGTTTATGAATAAGCCATAATATCATAACCGCTACCAAGTTTTCTGCGCCATTTGCGCTTTTAGACAATTAATGTCTCTACAATGATATTCGAGGCCTAAATATTTGCAATTCCAAAACATAATACAAACCAAAAAGGACCAAAATTATAATCAATGCCGGACAAGGAAGCATAATTCACTAACCGCATAGAACTTAAAACAAAATATTTTTTGGTTTTCTTTTTCCCCTTTTTGCACAATTAGATTAATTGAAGAGGTCAGATATTTTTCTCTGCATTTTTTACAATGTCTGCTTCCTGTAAAACACCAGTAGTGTATAGCCCTCCTGTGTCAACACAGTTACACTGTTTACCTATTGCTTGAGAATTGTACCCAAGTGGTTTAAATCCTTGACCAGGGATCAACCAGCAGGACGTGGTCTGAATTCACAGGTGCGTGACTTTAGGGAAATTTGAATGACAAAATATAACATAAATAGACCGACAGGACGGAATATTTATTTTATTTTACTAATGTACAAGTTATCTAGTATGTTGTTTTCTTTTCACCTGATATTTTTTGTGAAACAGCATTAATATAAATGAAATTTGACGCAGCATATATTTCAACGAAACTTTAACCAATAACACACTAAGACAAAAAAAAAGCATACAAATCGGAGGAATTTAATCCTAATTTTGCACGAGAGTATTTTTCACTATTTTCAAAAAAGAAAATAGGTCAACCCGCCCATTTTTTAACCCGCCCATTTTGATTTAAGTTGAACACTTTACTTTAGTTTATTTCTACTTGCTAGGTACCTTTTACATGTTTGTGTTTTATCTCTGTCTAACAAGGATATTGAGAAAAAAAACCATGCAAAACATTTTTATCAAAAGTTTGACAATTTTAATTTATAGATATGTTTCCTTTAAAACAGTCCAAATAGTCTCTGGGATGGCCCTAGCTGTAGTGTCTGTTAGACTGTGTATATAACGATTACTCATCCTGATAATATAGCTTAGGTCTCCACCTTGTTACTGCCACCATCGTCACCTATAATACCACCACCGTCACCGCTACTACCACCACCTTTACCACCTTTTCATTACCACCACCGCCACTACTTATACACTGTACCACTTCCATCTTTAGGACATTTAACATACCATCATCGTCACTACTGCAACTATCACCACATTCGCCACTTTCAGACTACTAAAACCATCACATTTACTACCGCTCTTAACTACCACCATTAACATTACCACAACTACCACCACCATTTTCACCTTTTCACTACCACCACCGTCACTACTACTACAACTCTTAACTACTACCAACAACATCACCACTGCTACCACCACCTTCATCACTCTCTCACTACCACTACCACCACCTTCACCACCTTCTCACTTCCATCACCATCACCACTTCTACCACCACCGTTACTACTACTACTACCACCTTTACCACCTACGTCATTACTACTACCACCGACATCATCACCACAACTACCACCGACATCATCACCACAACTAAAACCACCAACATCACCACAACTACCACCGACATCATCACCACAAGTACCACCACCAACATCACCACAACCACAACCGACATCATCACCACAACTACACCGACATCATCACCACAACTACCACGGACATCATCACCACAACTACCACCGACATAATCACCACAGCTACCACCGATATAATCACCACAACTACCACCACCAATATCACCACAACTACCACCGACATCATCACCACAACTACCACCGACATCATCACCACAACTACCACCACCAACATCTCCACAACTGCCACCGACAAAATCACCACAACTACCACCGACATCATCAACACAACTACCACCACCAACATCACCACAACTACCACCGACATCATCACTACAACTACCACCACCAATATCACCACAACTACCACCGACATCATCACCACAGCTACCACCGACATCATCACCACAACTACCACCGACATCATCACCACAACTACCACCACAAACACCACCAATACTACCACTCTCATCTACAACCACAATCACTACTATACCACTCTCAGCTACAACTATCTTCCAAATATCACCACTGCTACCACCTTCATACTGTAACCAGCATTATCTCCTACACAATCGCCACCATAATCACCACCTTCACCAATACCACCATAAACCACTACCTCCCAAACCTTAGAACGTGATTATTGGTTATCCGTTTACAGTGAAGATAGCAGATTAATAAAGCTTTGGAATGTTTTTTATTCATCACAACACATTACACAAAAAGACCTGTATAATTATTTGTAATTTCACAATGCTTCTTAGTATGTTGTTTGCCAGTATATACAATCACAGTCCTAGGTGATGAGAAAAATTGAATCACGCACTAGTTATATATGCAAGCTGAATTTCCGAAGATGGGTGTTAGAGGTAATGACACATGGAAATTCGGGAAAATTTTATAGACAAGAGCCACGGTTAGATGTAAGCAGTATTCATACAATGGTTGCAGTAGTAAGATAAAACGTATTCGTGTAAACCTGCTCGCATTGTGAGATATAGAGTGAACAAACCTGGATATGATAAATTGAAGTCATTCCTATTTACTTCCTTGTACGAAGGATACGATGTACTGTTGACCCTTTCGTGATATTGAAGATACTGTCGAGTAGTAAGCAACCATTTCTTTTGTTTTATCTCGATGTATATAATTGGTTACGCAAAAATAATTAAATTTTAAAGACAACATTTGAATGACTCTGCCTGTTTTGGCGAAAGGGATTTCAATAGCATATTGTACGGAAAGTTTTACTCCTTTGTTTTGATGAATACATGCATTATTATAATCTTTCAATGCTCTTCAATGCTCTTCAACTTCGTATTTTATTCGGCCTTTTAATTTTTTTACTCGAACGTCACTGATGAGTCCTTTGTAGAGGAAACGCGCGTCTGGTGTAAAAAAGTAAAAGTTTTTAGTTCGCTATTACTTCATTATAAAATCATACCAACATTCTATTGTTTTCATTTTCTTTGTATGAGCAGGGATACATTTTGTCCTTGCAAAAAACTATAAAATTGGAAATAAAGTTAGTAATTGGAAAATATGGTACAACATTTATAAATCGTATATATATTACGTGAGTTGTGATACAAAATAAGTTTTTATATAATATAAGATATTACAATATGCAAATTACTAAAATAAAATCCTTTGTCACAAGTATTAAAGACTGCATGATATGAAATCAGAGGGTACTTTTACTGGGGATTGGATTTGCATATAATCATCTTTAGTGTTTTATATGATCACACATTTTTGGAATACAAGACTGGACTGAAAATTTATGGACGACAACAACTTAAGGAAGTATAAAATTGAGAATGGAAATGGGGAATATGTCAAAGAGACAACAACCCGACCAAAGAGCAGACATCAGCCGAAGGCCACCAATGGGTCTTCAACGCAGCGAGAAAATCCCGCACCCGGAGGTGGTCCTCAGCTGGCCCCTAAATAAAATTGTGTACTTGTTCTGTAAAAATGGACGTCACACTTAACTCCAAAACATATAAATAAACAAAAATTAAAAAAACATACAAGACTAACAAAGGCCAGAGGCTCCTGACTTGGGACAGGCGCAAAAATGCGGCGGGGTTAAACATGTTTTGTGAGATCTCAACCCTCCCCTATACATCTAGCCAATGTAGAATAAAGAAACACATATCAATACGCACAGTAAAACTCAGTTCAAAAGAAGTCCGAGTCCGATGTCAGAATAGGTAACAAAAGAAATTTAGGAAAATGACAATGATACATAAAAGAACAAAGGACTACTAGCAGTTACTAACATGCCAGCTCCAGACCTCAATTAAACTGATTGAAAGATTATGTCTTCATCATATGAAAATCAAGTACAATCCCTCCCGTAAGGGATTTAGTATCATACCATTATAAAATATATGAGAAGAACATAACCCGTATCATGCCAATAACTGGTTTTAGAATAAATGTGTTTATTTGCGATGCAAAGACCCTATGAGTGAATCAATATTAATAACAAAATATGCAATCCTTAATGACTTGACAACGGTATCGTAACTATATCCTTTCCGAATAAGTCTGTTTGAAGATTTGGTTAGCTTTTGAGGTGAATGCCGACATTTTTGTGCTTTGTAAAGAATATTACCATAAAATATTGGATGTGAAATACCCGAACGTATAAGATGTCTGCATGTTGATTTATATTTACGAATGATGTCCTTGTACCTATGATAAAATTTAGTAAATGTTTTGACTAGTTTGTGATATCGAAAACCCTGGTGTAATAATTTTTCAGTAATACAGAGATTTCTTTCGTTGAAATTAAACACATTGTTACATACACGAGCGAATCGAACAAGTTGAGATATATAAACACCATAAGATGGTGACAAAGGAACGTCACCATCTAAAAGTGGATAATTAACAATAGGAAATGAAAAATCATCTCTTTTATCATAAATTTTGCTATTAAGCTTCCCGTTCAAGATATAAATCTCTTTAGTGTACATACTGAAGTCGTCATTATTGAAAGCCAATATATCATCTAAATATCTAAAAGTGTTATTAAATTTTTGAATCAGATGGGGCAATATGCGCAATTGTTTCTCCATAGGCGGTAATGGTAACTTTTTCTTCTGTAGCTCAGTCCATATCGTAAACTTGGATATGTATGATGGCTCGTTTCGAAGCTGAGACATTTTCACATATGTGGTTAAATTTTCGGGGTACGAAGTGTGATTCATTTTCCCGTAAATTAGCATACCCCGAAAATCTTTTCGTGATGCGGCTCTTCATGGTAAAAAGTCCCTTTTTTCACACAATAGTTTCTTTGAAAATTTAATACTTTGAATACATATAATAACTCCATAGTTTTTACACATTTATTCTATGGTCCTATACTTTCCAGATCAACACAAATGGTTAAGCTCAGTCACTTGTTAAAAATAGAAACATGTCCAATATCACTACACAGATATTTTTTGTTTACACACAACTTTTGTGTTCCTAAATTGGAGGCGCATTAGGGATATTGACCCAGATGTTGTTTCGATGGGTCTTTGCTGATTTTAGTCATAAATTGAAACTCATAACAATACAGAAACAGGTCCGCAATAAGTGGTGCACAATTAGTCCCCATGGGAATTCCGATAACCTGACGATATACGGAATCTCCATAACGAACTAAAATGTTATCTAGTAAAAATTCAAGGGCAGTTATAGTATCAAAGCAGGTCCAATTGACATAGTTCTTTTGTTTTTCGTTACTAAAAAATGACCTAAAAGAGTTTGAACATATATATTCGCATTCCGATTTTTTAAATGCCCATTTAATCAGGTGTGTGAATTTTTTCTTAATAAGATTATGAGGCAAAGTGGTATATAGTGTATAAAAATCAAAACTTTGAACAGATTCGAAATCACCAATATAAGCCTGGGATATGGGAGATAACCCTTACAAATGATTTGGCAGTCATTTATGAGTTTTAGCGCAGGAGTTAATGGAACAATAACCAAGCATTTCTGTTGTTAACATTTGGTTTTATGAATGAAACAGCAGCATCTAATAAGAAAATTGGAAAAGTTTGATTCTATCTACATTAAATTAAGAAATTACAATATTAATAAAGATTAAAAAATCAAAAGATAAAACTGTATAAAAGTATTATTCATAAATGAAAGGCTTCTTAAAACTATGTTTTTATGTTTTTAGAGATTTAACACAATTAAGATAAAATTTTTGAAGGTTGGGGGGAAACTTGAACTTGAAAGAAGATGATTGTATATTGTTATTAGGTATATATAATGTTTCAGTGCTAAGAAATATGCTGTATGTCTGGTTTTCATATACCAATGTGGCATTATTGTAGACATATGGAAAAATCCTAGGTACTTTTTTCATAGGATTTGCACCACGTGGCTTCGGCTCTTTTGAATGAATTATCTTTAGCTGTAGATTGAAAAATACAAACTATTATAATATTAAATTTGCGGATAACGAAGTTTTTTTTCTGTCTTGGATCTAAAGCTAACGTGCCTTTGAAAACTTCCTTTGGCAGATTTTTACAAATATGTTGTGTAATGCCAAGAAAAAAATCTTAAAATTTTACTATTTACGAAATGGGAAGAATGAAATCATAATGTTTTTAAAAGAATTTGACCGAAAACTCAAGAAAAGAAGTCAGATAAAAGTTATTCACCCTGAAAATTCAACCTTACAGGTGTTTCTCTTAATACGTTCTGCAGAATTTATGTTATTTTATATAGCAATTATCCACAGGCACTTGTTTCTATCCATGGGAAGGTCGACTATCCATGTATAATACAAGAAGGTGGCTAACGAAATTTATTCATATCAAGACCGTCTCCGCTTCGGACGCTTTTTGTTACCTTTAACTTAATGCAAAAAATCCCAATCATATAGGAATCGATTCATTTAATATTTTCCTTTAACACTAAACATATTTTATATCCCCCTCAGTGATCCTTTTCATACTAATCGAACTATTAATCACTAAAACGCAGTTACATTTTGAACTTCTCATTGTATTCACTTCCGGTTTGCATCGCAGTATATATAACTTTGTTTCCATTAACTGAATTTCCCTCCCCCAATTCTTTCGAATCTGTATGTTTTTTTTACCTCCAAAATAGAATATCGAGGAGTTTCTTTAGAGTTACCATATACATTCGGAATTCTCTAGTAGTATCCAATTCAATCAAACTTGGTTTTTGACTTTCTGATTTATTTAATCACAACGAAAAACGTACTTATATTGACGATATTTATTCTTTAAAAACACATAAATAATGAAAATAATAACACAGTAATTTTACAGCATCATCTGTTTTTTTTTTTTTTTTAAAGATAACATTCTGCTCTGATACAGGACAACCGGAAGTAAATACAGTGAGAAGTTGCTAGTTGAAAATGTCACCACGGTTTAGTGAATAATAGTTAGATTAGTATGAAGAGGATCACTGAGGGGGGTATAAAATATGTTAAGTGTTAAAGAAAATATTCAATGAATCGATTCATATAAGGTAGGGATTTCTTGCATTAAGTTAAAGGTAACAAAAAGCGTCCGAAGCGGAGACGGTCGTGACATAAGCAAAATTTCGTTATCCACGTCTTCTATAATATATGGATAGTCGACCTTCCCATGGATAGAAACAAGTGCTTGTGCAATAATCCTATCTTACGCTTCCAATTTTCAAACTAAAAAGTTTTTAAAGTGGACAATGTTCATTTGTACACAAACCGAGGGCAAAAAAACATGCGCAATTGACCTATATGCGGACAAATTGTAGATACGAATTGGGAATAATCAATTGGAATATTTGCATATTTATTTTATGGGCATATATAATCCCATTGAAATGGCTGCCGTCAGGAAAAACAATATGGCCGCCATGCAAATTAGCAAAGTGCTCAAAATTTTGCCATATGAAAATATGATCTGAACAACCGCCCTAGTACACGCTAATACTAACAGATAACCAACATTAGCACAATTAGAGTACTTAAATAGTGACAGATTGTATGGTTATTTTAGGATA